GAACCAAATATATTAGGAGATTATAGTGAAGATAATGTAAATAACGCTGGCGCTCTGAGTTTTTAAAATTGGAGTGCTCTTAAAAATATAACTCCTCAGAGGGAGAACGTATTTTGATGGCCTTGCGAACTCTGTTCTAAGAGGATCAGCCACTGTTACTTCTAAACACTTGCCTGTTCTATCGATAGATCCAATATTCAAATTTTTTAGCGAGTTTTGGGAATGTGGTGGAAATGTATTAGCAGGCGGTTCACAGAAGCCAGTAAAATTTTGAAAGTGGTCTACGAGAAAAAAGTTTGGGAACATCTGCTCCAAACAGTCGCTAGAGTCAATTACAATTCACAAGAAACTAAGTAAAAAACACGTAATTTTAAGACGCTGACATTATTCGGTGGTATTGATTTATACATACAAGTTTCTTTGCTTACATTAAAACTGTCGTCTGGTCGCCTCACGTGGGTAGATAGCTTAAAAAGGAAACGTTTTAAAGCTAAATTTGTCAAAACATAAAAATTGCGGTTTTTAAAAGTTTTAACTAACACAGGCGAAAACGAGCGTTTGTGTAAATTAAATTGTGCGTAAATTCTGTAAAAACGAAGAGTCCTCAAAGTTACAACAAAGTCTAAAATGAATCGGATGAATAAGGCAGTTATTCCATGTTATTATTAAACAATTTTTACTGAGTTTTACAATTGCTTTAACGATTTTTAATCCATTTAAGGTGAAATAGAAACAGGAAGAACCTGAAAAGGTCGCAACATTATTTTTTATTAAACGCAATGCTCCAATTTTTAAATTTAAGCCTCTTGTGCTCTATAGTCTACATTTGTAGCATTTTCGCTGAAAATTTGCAATAAATAAAATAGTTCCACTACAAATGTGTCCGAGTTTTTCAGTAGCTTCATGAAAATCAACTCTAAGCAGTTTTGGCTATGAAGCGTGAAAATAATTATTTCCTACACCTTCAAAACCCTTAATTTATAAATGATTATCCTGGCAGGTTTCCTACAAGTCAATTTTACCCACACAAAAATTAAAATATAAGTAAAACTGCGTTTTTAGTTTTTCTCTCTGACGTCAGGATTTTTTAGGGACTTTGAAATTTCCAGGATATGATAAATTAAAAAATGATAAAAAAAATTCACTGCAATGTAGAATAATAATATGGGTGGCAAATAAAAGAGAAAGCTGTGCTAAATTTAAAAAAAAAATTAAATGTTTTGGAACACAAGTTTGAACGGGTATTCAAATCGTCCTTTTATCATTATTAGTTTATGAAAAAAAAAATATTTAAAAGGTCATTTTCAAGACCTATTCATCCTTTTGCACCAACAAATTTAATATTTTTCAATTCCAAAAATGCTCTTTTTATTAGATGCCCATACTCTTATTTTACTTCGCAAAAAATTTTTTTAGTAATTTTTTTGATTTTTTATATCCTTGAAGATTCAAAGTTTTACTATATTTGGCTCCTGATTTCATTAGTATGTTGCTTCGTCTGTTTTGAAATGTTTTTGTTTTTGTCGCACATTGTAATATATATTTTAAAGTCACATGTTTTTTTTTTGTATGCATTTGCGTATATGGGCCAATCGGTGCTTTACTAATTGGTCTCTTTAAGAATGTAGACCGCTTTTCTTAAGATATATTTTTTTTAACTTTCATCCATTGCGCAACTTCTAGGCCTAGTCCAATAATGGTGTGACAATGTGCTCTATCTTTTTCGAATTTTTAAATTAATGAAATTCTAACAAATCTTGTCCAATTCATCTCAGATAAGTCAAATCAAATGCATTTATCAAAATCATAAAAATACCACATGGTTGAGGATGAAATTATCTACATATTTGCATCAAACGGTTGGACACTGGTACATACCCTGCAGTGAAAAATTATCAATTGTTAAAACTAACCAACTTATAGTTAGCTTTTTGGCGAGATTTCGATTAATACCTCACTTTTAATTAGCTATGACAAAACCAACTTAAAGTGAATTGTAAAGTCGTGCAGGAGTCATGCAGACGCAATCGGGAGTTGGTTTTCTTTACAAGTTTCTATTAAATATCCTCATACAAAAATTACTTTCAATACACTTTTTTTCTGAACTTCGCAGATTCTTTTTCATATTCAGGACAAATAAAAGGAAGATCGAAATTTTATACTATCATTTTGAAGTTATGTCTGACGGTGTTCGAAGCAGTTAGTTACAAGTTAGTTGACATGTAATGCAGAGGTATCCAGGTCTGACTTTTTTGCGGCCATCGCCCCACAAAAGTAGTTAGCTTTTTTCGAACAAAATACACAGTTAATAGTTAGCACTAGTGTTCGCGTAAACAGACTAAAGTTAGGTATAAGCTAACGTCACTCCCTGCAGGGTACATACATGGCGTATCAGTAAACTTTATTTCCTGCTTATATTTCATAAAAAAAAAAAAATCATTCACCCCTATTGCGAGTGTCGATTAGCAGTAGAATAGACATTTTTCTATTGAGTCGATCATATTTTATTTTGGTATTGCGGAACTGAATCACAATTGTACAATTGTGAATGGCTTACTGAATTGCAATCAGCTGTTTCGGTGTTTGTTTACATTTTTGATATATTTGGCAAATAAAATAAAATACAATTGTCCAAAACTTTTCAATTTAACAATTTAAAAAAGAAAATACCACTATTGGATAGTGTCGACGTGTGGTTCAGTGATAGTGATGACGAGGAAAGTGAAAGATTAGTAGAGTTAGCAAGAACGAGGAGGATGTTGAGGGATTCGTCTAATCCTCTGGAATTGGAGGAAAATATGTATGTATACGGTTTCAACGGTGCGTAGTTGATAAAAACGTAATCAATCTATATTTTTTTAAGATTTTTGAAAAATTTTCGTCTTCCGAAGGCTGCATTTACGCATTTGCTCACACTATTAGATAGCAAACTGCAAGCTGGCGTTAGAAAAACATCAGTTCCAAATATTTTAAAGTTGGCAGCGACTTTGACGTTCTGTGCTCAGGGGTCGTATCAGCTAAGTGTCGGGAACGAAAGTTGTATTGGGCTTGGCCAATCTACGGTGTCCATAATTTTGGCGGAAGTATTCAATGCATTGGAGGAATGCGTCTGCAGAGATTGGATAAAAATGCAATACAGTGAAGAGGAAAAACGAGAAGCAAAGTGTTATTTCTTTGAGAGGAGCGGAATACCCGGAGTAATAAGCTGCATAGACGGTACGCACATCAAAATTGTTTCCCCAAAAAAAGAGCATCAGCATTTGTATTACAATCGGAAGGGATTTTTCAGCTTGAATGCAATGATAGTGAGTATTTATAAAGGAAATGCAACAATGGAGTTTATAATCTTTCTTCATTTATAGGTTTGCGACAACGCCATGCGAATCCGCTATATCAACGCGAAGTACCCTGGAGCTACGCATGATGCTAATGTTTTTAATATGTCTGCGTTGAAGCAACAATTAGAAGAAGAGTATCGTAGTGGCGAGCGAAATATGTTATTAGGTATGCTATGGCTAATTTATGTAGACATTCGAATGGTTGTGTCATAGCTATTTCCAATTTTAGGTGATGGAGGGTATGCCTTACAACCCTATATGCTTACGCCATACCCAAACCCAGAGCCCGGATCAGCAGAATGTATGTTCAACGGTAAACATTCTCAAGGACGGAATATTGTGGAACGCACTATTGGGGTGCTCAAAAATCGTTTTAGGTGCTTGTTAGGCGCTCGAGCGCTTCCCTATGAACCCAAAAGAGCTACACAAATAATAAACGTCTGCGCAGCGCTTCATAACATTTGTATTTTCTACAATGCTCAATTTCCCGATGAAGAAATGCTAAGCGACCGAGACTCGGACGACCGAGCTCAAGACAACACAGCTTTTGAAAATCTCTCTGTGGCCAGTGAGGAAGCGAGGGCAATTAGAAATAACATTTTACAACACATGCAATTCTAACGTTATGGCTTTTTATTAATTTATTCAGTTAAGTTCAGTTCGGTTATAAATCACATATTCAGCCTTTTTTAATTCATGTTCAGTACTTTTTAACCTTATATCTAAATTCATTAATTAATACCAAGAAAAAAAAAATAAAAATAAAAATGCATCTTATTCATAAAAATGTACATATATGCTATACATAACACAAAATATCACTTCAGGTATTTATTCATAACTAACTTAAAATATCACTTCATGTATTTATTTATAACTAACTTAAAATATTACTTCAGGTATATCCAGTCTAAAAATAAATAAATAAAAATTAAAACTATCCTTAAACTACTTCAATATGTTGGAAATTCTTTCATTTTCCAACTCCAATATCTGAGCTTTTAATCTAAGCTTATCTGCTCTATTTTTCCCCTTATTTTTAAGCTCTTCCCTATACACTTGAAACTTTTCTTTTTTCAAAGCAATTTTTTCCCTTTCTAGGGCCAGAGCCTCCTCCTTGAGCGCAACCGACTTTTCCATCCATCTTTCAATTTTCCTAATTCGTACTTTCAAGCCGAGTGTAGTCTTCTTCATCACCTTAAAATGCTGCTCTTGCATGTTTATTTATTTTTCCAACAGCGCAATCCTTTTTTGTTTGTCATTCGTACGGCGGCTTGCTGTTGGAGTAGGCTGTGGTGCAGCGTGCCTTCTTGCTGTTGGAGTAGCCTGTGGTGCAGCATTTTCTTGGGTCACATTGGTTGCATACTCTTCAGGGTCTTCCTCGGCCTCACTCTCCAACTCTTCCACAACCATTGTAGGCGAACTATAGCCTTGACTTGCCCTTGATGTTGACGCCACGTTCGCGGTTCCAAATTCTTCGCCGGGTGGGTCAGTGCAGACATCCATATTAAGGAGGCTGATGATTGCTTCTTCCATCGCAGAAAATGTATGCAAGCTGTTTGGACCCCCACCAGTTGCACGAAGCTCTATTTTATTTTGCGAAGCTTTTTTTCTGGTTTTACTCTTAAGATCCGTCCACACCTATAATAAAATACGTGTATCTTATTTACGAAAGCTATATATGTAATTGTATTTTACCTTCAACCACTTTTCCCACGAGCGCATTGGTGGTCCCAAACTGTTCAACTCTACAGCTACCCGCTCCCAACTTGCCTTTCCTTGAACTTTTCCGCAGATACCTTTTCCTAAGTCGCTGTTTTTTTGCATCAACTCCACTAATCGCGCTAGTTGCTTTTTGTTACTAACTACTTTTGATCTGTAATTTTAATATAATTATTTTATTACTTTTATTTATGTATATTTTTATTTATTTTCTTTAAATTTGCTTACTTTTTATCCATTTTCGTTCTTTTTTCATCAACTTTACTCTCCAACGACTAGAAAATGGCTGTAGAAAGATGATCGATTAAAAAGCATTCACAGTCGCTTGCTGAGCGATCATTCGACACTCGCAATAGTTCGATAATCGATAATCGCTCAGTAGTCGATTATCTATTCTTGTTCGACACTCGCAATAGGGGTGATTGCATTTCCCAATCGACTAAGCTAAAGTGATAAGCCGCGGCGCAATAATTCCCATGGCAATTATGTAAGGAATTTATTCCTCTACACTGTGGTATTTATATTTATCTTTTTGATTAATGTATTTGATTTGAAGAGGGAAAAGTTCTTAACGTTGAATTGGACAATATTTGCCAGTTTTTCATGCATTTAAAATATCAAAAAAAAAAAAACAATATTAATTAAAAAAATTCTATAATATTTTGACACTCCAAATGTCAATTCCTCTCTTCGGAAAAACTATTGGAATAAATATTTATTCCTCTGCCGGAAAGTTAGTCCTCGCTATGCCATAGTGAATAATTGACAAAAAAGTTATTCCGCCGTCGCTCAGAATTACTGAGAATAACTTAACCGTTGAATAAGAAGGAATAACGACGAGTCAATAATATGGCCGTTACAGTTTTACAGCAAAAATGCGGAATAAATTGTCAATTTTTTTTAGGACGGGATATTAATGCGATTTTTTGCTTACTAAAGGTATCTGTGTATTTATGTTTATTGCAAACTTCGAAACTCTAAAACACTTTTTCTTTTGTTGCTCTCTGTTAAATTATTCTTATATAAACTAAGGTGCATCACTCTCCATAAAAAAAAAAAAAATATTTCTGAATTATATTAAGATGTACGTGAGCTTGATCGATTTAAAAATCCCCCCAAAATCGAGTTGTTTATAAATACAATTAGTTTTTAAAATTTTTTTTCTAAAAAAATACTTCAGATGATAGAAGTTTTTAAGCTTAAAAGGGTTACATAAAAATATTTTAAAATTTTATCAACGGAATCAAAATAATGAGATTTCTGGACGTTTTCTTCTAAGGCACCCTAATGTACTTATGTATGGTTCGCATACAAGAATATTTGAATAAACTTAGTTAAAATAAAATTGAATATGCAACCGATTTAAAGTAGACGAAGCGTGTGCAGCAACTTTTGACATACTGACATAAAAAGTAAGCTGTGCTGCACAGCAAAATACCCACAGATTTTGTAGCAGAGCAACATGCAACTAAACAAATCTATAATTGGAAACAAACATTCATACGCATACATGAATATGTAATTTTGCATGCAATTATAGCGTCACAAAACACAACTTGACTTTCATATCGCCCATTATTCGGCTCGATGTATGCAAAAGTTTTATTGTTTTGATGAAAATACATACACACAACTGCACACAGATTCGCATTTCTATACATATGTATATGTATGCTAAAATCGATTTGTGCAAAATTACGAAAATTTAGTCAAGAGAAAATGAAAGTCCATATAACGATGTCTGCACATTAATACATTCCAACATTTAAACATATTTACGCAAATCACTTGCAATCACAATCCAACAAAATACAAGCCGAACCAAAGCGGGTTGATTATACAAAAACAATAAATTGTGTGCAAATTTATGCAAGTCACATACTAAGCACAACTCGAATTGTTATTTATCTGTGTCAGAATTTTCTAAGCAATTTGGATGATGAGGAGAGTTTTATCTCTTCTGTTTTTTTTTGTTTTTTTTTGTCGGCACTTTTTCTTTATTCCTTTCTGACTTGCCAAATTGAGTTTAGTTCAAGCATTTTGATTTCATTGCCCTCCTCTCCTCACACTTACACCTATCGAGAAGACATTAACGCTTTTTTGATGCTGCTCGTATTATACTCGATATCCAAATGATTTATTTCGCTTCATTTTTGAATGTCTGGCATTTCTCTTTTATCTGCCCCACTGCCCTCTTTTTTTTGGATCTGACACAGATTTGCTGCGTTGAGGAGGTTTTTTTTTTTAATAATCATCAATGTCACATTTGTTGGCGATTTGTGCAAATGATTGGGCAAATTTATTAAATGCTTACTTGCTTTTGCCGCTCCTTCTTCTTTTTGGGTGAGATTTTAAAGTTGAAAATAGATTCCTTCTAGTTATTCAGCTAAATTTTTATCAAAGAATCTTTGGGGCTTTTTAATCGCTGGGTGCAAATGTGGTTATAAAGTAAATGTCATTTCAATAAAGAAAAGTTTGACAGGTTATTGAACTTTAAAAGGCAATTTATTTTATAGTACAAGGAACTTTTCCTCGAAGCACTAATATCCTTACATACTATAATCAGACGCGATCAATGTCTGTTTCACGAAAAAGAACCTCCGAGAGCTTGTGTACGCCGTCAGTGTATGTAACCACATTTTAAATATCTCTAATCGAAATAAATGAAGGAACAGGGAGATAAGTTTTGCGAGTGTGGTTTTTATTTATTCGAAGATGGTTCTGCAATTTAGCTGACTCTCAAGTTCAAAATACCACCGCAACATCGCAAATTTGTTGGAAAATTTCATTTCATCTCTGGTCACAACATTGCCAATTCAGTATTCTCATTATTTTATCAGGTAGCAGCCAAACCCAAATAGAGGACGTACTTTTTTAACTGGAAGGTTATTTTTTTATGAGTGTGAACCTGGATGAAAAAATCAAGAGCAGGCCACATAGTCAGCAACTTGGAAATTTGGGTTGATCACCGCCTCAAGAGCAAAGGTCAGTGGCCGGCTACTTAGGAGGGATCTATATACATATATTACAAAACCTAGGACGGTGGTCACATTTCTCAAGACAAGCAAGGCATTAGAGAGTTTAAACCAATCAGCCTTTTCTCAGTTCTCTAACCGAAGATTAAGACGAGCGCGACTACGTAGTGAGAAGCAAGGAAAACTTTTTTAAGACGAACGCAAATACACAGTCAAATACAAAGATCAAATCAAAGTGAATACGAAGACGAATACCAAGTCGAAGACGAATACGGATAACATAGAAAAAATCTAGACGAAGACCAACACCTAGGCGAGGGCGAAGTCTAATTATAAGACAAAACCGAAGGCGAATATGAATTCGATAAAAACTCGAAGGAAAATACGAAGATGAATACCACGACGAAGACGAAAATAAAATCGAATATGAATAAGATGATAAAGCCGAAAAAGAATAAGATGAATAGTAAGGCGAATACGCAGTCAAATACATACAAAGATGAATACGAAGATGAAGTATAATACAAAGATGAACAGGTAATCGAATACGAAAACGAAGACGGAGGCGGTGATGAAAACGAAGGCAAACGACGAAGACGAAAAATAATATCACAAGGGAGTGGAACACAAAGACGGCGACTAAAACGAGAGAAAAATACAAAGCGAAGACAAGAACGAAGATGTACATACATATATACAGACGAATACTAAAAATATCACCAACACAAATAAGCAATACAAAAAAGAAGACGAAGACGAAAATTAATGATACGACGAATACTACGTCGAATGCGAAGCCAAATATCAGGACCTAAGTTAATATTAAAGCTGTATGTGAGTTGACCTATATTTCAGTAAATTGTTATTCCACTGGAAATTTTCAAGACAGCTTCAATTTAGGGAGGGAAGGATCATCGTCTGTACTTGTGGGGCCAGGACCGGTTTGTGGACTCAGTTGGTCCTTCTCGAAGCTTATAATCGAATCGTGGGTAAACTCAGAACACAGTAAGTACTATGGAGAGGTAGGGGCTTTAGATGCGCCAGACTTTTTGGTCATCCTTTTACTAGGAAAGATATGCATCTTTTGAACAGGCCGATATCAAGTGGCTTATTGGCTACCTAACAGGCCACAATCACCTGCGCTTAAACATGCACCGGTTTGGTCTTTGCACAAAAACGGATTGCCGTCTTTGCCTTGAAGACGAGGAGGAGTCGGAGCACATTATTTGTGATTGTCCGGCATTGGCCAAACTAAGACTGCAATACTTCAGTTCCTCCACAGACGACGCCCTTAAGGTTAGGAGTTCATCTACCAAGAAACTTTAAGCTTTTATAAGGGAGGCTAATAACATCTGGACCGTCAGGTTTGGGAACCATCACAAGGATACAAAAGATCTTCTAGGTCGCAGTGCCCCTTACATTACATAGGCAAACTGCTGATCAAACTGTGTCCGTTCTGAAATTTGAATTCAGTTGCTGTTGATAAAGTAGTAAATTGTGTGATATTTGGGTAGGTTTTGGCTTATTTAATAATATTGTAACTTTACAGCAAAAAATTTTATCGCTTACTTAAAAAGTTTTATCGCTTACTTAAATCCAGGTTAAAAAGATTGCTTGCAGAAAACCTAAATTCTGCCTATTCACTGCATCACCGTCACTTACGAGTGATTTCGAATTTCTCTTTATTTAGGTAGCAATTTAATTGAAGTCGCACACAGCCTAAGCGTAATAAAATTTCTCTACCATCAAAGGAATCGAAACAAATTTAGCGTCCGTAGTGTGCCACAGGCGCATATCTATTTTTGCATTAAACATTTTTACGGTAAGTAAATTATTCGTCTTCTTTATAGGGCCTGGTTCAGATTAATCATCTTTTGATCAATACTTTAAACAATTTTAATTGTTTTTAAAAAGCCAAAGAGAATTTATAAGCCTCACTTGAGTAGTCCCATATTCAGGGGAAATAAAAAAATATTTTTTTCCTTTTGTTAAATTGCCAATTGTTTTATGCCTTTTTTATGAAACAAAAAATTAATCCAACATAAGCAAGCTTTGACCCTTATAAATTGTTAAGCATAACTAAGAATTACAATATTATTACTTTACAAATGATTTTAATTCCCAGTGGAAAGCTTGATACGCAGGCAGACCCAATAGAAAATATGTAGAAAGCAAAAAAAAAACAATGCAAGTTATGCGCATCATAAATTAGCCCTTAGGATAGATAATATTTATTTTTAGCTTTTGCTGCCAACTTGGCTTTTCATTTCAAATTTTTCATTCTAATTCTACACTTCTTTTTATATTTTACTTTTTTTAACTTTTTTTTTACCACTGACAAACACACGGAACAGTTAACGGTTTAGATACGTATACAATTATGTCAAACATTTTTTCAAGCGTTTTATTGCGTGAAATTTCAACTTCATAAGCACACAA